TTTGTTTTTATGAATATCTCAAAAACAAAAAATCTGAAGAAACCCACTTTTTCCTAGAACAGCCCCCATATACAGAAAAATTAGAAAAATTCAACTTTATTGTTAATCAAAAAAGGTAAAAATCACAATGTACAAATTTGTTAAAAAAAAAAAAGAATTAACTAAAACGAAAAGACAAAGAATAATAAATAAAATAATCAAATTTTTCCGTTGCCATTTGTCACATTCATTGCTGATTTTAACCTGTTACTCCTCTTGACCTTTTGGAGCTTGTCTTGAGTCCCATTACCACCTGAATTTTCTTCAGGTTCTACTTCTGTTTCCAAACCTGGTTCAGGATGATATGTGACACCCTCCTCTTCAATGTTAATTGGAGATTTTTGATGCTCTCCACTTGTTTTGGCAGGTCTTTTGGCCTGAGATCTGTTTTCATAATTCATCAGGTCCTGGTTGCAATTTTTCCTACCACCAGCTCCCGGACTTGACAATGACGATGATGTGTTGGCAGCATTTCCTGAGTAAACATTGTTCCACTCGATTTCAGAAGTGATAATTTGTACCATGTTCTTGCCTTTGTAAAATTCACCACAGACAGAGAAGATCGCTGTGGATTCGGTTGCCTTAGCAACACCAGCATGTCTGGTGCTGCCAGCATTGTACGGACATGCAACCTCGGCTGTCAGGTAGTTGGCGGTCAAGGGGTTGTAGGTCCTTCGTTCCAAGGTGAAGTACGAAGTGGAGCCCTTGTTGATTTCTGATGACTTGCACGAAGCCGAATAGTTTCCAAAGGGTGGACAAGGCAGAAGATCATATATCAATGGTAGCTCATCAATCATTTTCAAATTCAAAGATATTGCCTGGACAACAGTGACATCAAGCCGAGGCTTTTCCAGGACAAACTTTCCAGTAATCAACATGATTGTATTTGGCTTGATCCTGTGGATCATGTGTTGGTTCTTGTCGGACATGAACACTTTATAGTTGTAGTCGACAAATTCATTTTCATCATACCTATAGGTCACGACTCCAGTCAAAGTAGAGGTGCCAGAGACCGTCTTGATGAAAGAGATAGCACTGAATATTGATGTCACTTTTTTTTTTTTGGTAAAAAGTATATACGAGGATTGGAAAAGAGAGATTATGTAAATGTGCTCAGTTAAT